TAGTAGTATATATATATATATATATATATATATATATATATATATATATATATATATATATATATATATATATATATATATATATATATATATATATATATAGATATAGAAATATATATAAATATATATATATATGTGTGTGTGTGTGTGTGTGTGTGTGTATTGTGACATATACCACATGTACACCCGTGTGTATGTTTCTTCGTCCTACTTCCTCCGATGGTGTAGGTACAATTGAGCATGACTATGCACGACTATAGATAGTCGCATAGCAGTGTCTCTGCAGTGAGTCAGTGTGGTTCGTTTGAGTTGTCGGCTGAGAGTTCTCCTGTGTAGTGATGGCAATGGCTTGGCACAGGACAGTCACAGTGCAGCGTTTAGTCTGACATAGCACAAGTTAAGGTTAGGGTTTTGGGTTTAAGGTTAGGGTTTTGGGTTTAAGGTTTTAGATCGACTACTGCCCTTTTATATCAGTTCACTTGTGGACAGGTATGAGTGTAGTTGGGCTGTTCCATTATAGCGTAGTAGCGTTTCTATCTATTCAAACGAGGTTTAGTGTTGCGTTTAGGGTTTAGAGTTTTGGGGTTTTGAGTGCGCTTTCAAACACACTATATTTCTTTATATTATAAAGTACAGCCCAAGCTGCGTAATGGTGTATGCGTGTGCCTTTGGGCCTTCGGCTACCTGCCTGGTTCTAGGCGGTCCATTTATGTACTGATTCAGGTGCATTTGTCACCCGTTTTTCTTCTCGCAGGGTGCAAGTCTACCAAGTATCCCTATCCCTGTGGTGCCGCATACCAACTGCTGGGAGTGGATATCGTGTTCGATGCAGACGTATGTGTGATGCACTAGACATGTGTGTGTTCAGTAGTATGAGTCATACTTATTCCTTAGTATGAGTCATACTTGTCCATTAGTATGAGTCATACTTACATGTGTGTGTTCATTAGTATGAGTCATATTCTTTTATCCCATCTAAACCCTTGCCGTGTGGTTTACTTTCACCTGAATACGGTTCTCTTTTCTTTCCATTTTTTTGGCATTTACGTATTCGATTTACTAAACCTTAAACCGTTAAAAATATTTGCTACATGCATAGATGGTCCCCCATCTGATGGAAGTCAACAATGATCCAGGATGGAATCCTTACTACGAAAAGCGTAAATACACAGGTGTGTCCCGAGAGTAAATCCATTTGCTTATATATATATATATATGTGTGTGTGTGTGTGTGTGTGTATATGTATATGTATATGTATTTGTATGTATATATGTATGTATGTATGTATGTATGTGTATATATATATATATTTATATATATATATATGTATATATGTATTTATATATATATGGATGTATATGTATATATATGTGTGTGTGTTTGTATCTGTGTCTGTGTCTGTGTCTGTGTGCATGTTCATATATATCTTTTCGCGGGCCATCAGTGTTACATGTATAAATATATATGCGTATTGTATCAATTTAAAATGCGCACTCCCACTCTTGTGTTCGTAGATAACCTCTTGCTATCAGTTCACAACTAGCTATATCTTATTCACAAAGTGAGTCGGAAGCAACCTATATTGTATTGCTGTACTGTTGCTGTATTATGATATGGTATAATTACTGTTTGTTAGTACTGTTTTGTTACTGTATGGTAATACTGTATAGTTACTGTTTGTTGGTATATTGTTACTGTATGGTGATACGGTATAGTTACTGATTGTTAGTACTGTATTGTTCCTATTTATACATTCGGATAGTCATTGTTAAGGTCACTGGTAGATTTCTATTGATTCACTTTTTTATCACCGTTTTCCTTGGTTTGCCACTGTTAGATTCCTGCAAACTAACGTTTTCATTAACGTTTGCTTCTGTCTGTCCGTCTCTTCCCAGTGGCCACCAAAGGCGGGAACGCCAACGGCGCGAAGTGTCTATTTCCGTTTGTCTATCAAGGAACCAAGCACCTGGAGTGCATTCCAAAGGTGTGTGGGAAGTGTCTGTTTCCGTTTGTCACAGGTACTTGCTCTGTCACATGTGTGTGGGTAGTGTCTGTTTCTGTTTGTCACAGGTACTTGCTCTGTCACAGATGTGTGGGTAGTGTCTGTTTCCGTTTGTCACAGGTACTTGCTCTGTCACAGGTGTGTGCAGGAGACCATCGACGGTGCAATGACTACGCTAACATATCTCGATTCTATATCACTGGATGCGTGTATATTTGGTTATGACTAGATGTAACTAGGTATAACTAAATATGACTAGATGTAACTAGGTATAACTAAATATGACTAGATACACCAATAGTACTAGATATAGGTAAATATATCTATTTATAACTAGATGTGACTAGATACACCTATATAACTAGATATACCTATTCATAACTATATATAACTAGATACACCTTTATATCTAGATATAACTCTTTATAACTAGCTATAACTGGATACATCAATATATCTGTATTTATAACTATATATAACTACATATACCTATATACCTAGATAGATCCATCTATAACTACATATAACCACATACCCCCAGACACACCTGCTATAGCCAGCCTACAACACACCTGTCCTCCCTAACCCAATACGTACCACTGCCCCAACACACGCGCAGAGCAAAACAGATCCCACTCTCTGGTGCTATACAGATGAGTATGAGAGTTGGGGAGAGTGTGACCAGACGTCTGAGAATGCACACAACAAGGACTCCTTGCAGCAGGTGTTCAATGCCGTCTACGGTGACCTCGTGTTCCTGACAGGTGTCATCCCATACGACCCAGAGTATGTGTACGTGTGTGTGTTCTCAGAGTATGTGTACTTGTGTGTAGCATGAAGTAAGTTTACTTGTGTGTGTTCTCAGAGTATGAGTACTTGTGTGTAGCATGAAGTAAGTTTACTTGTGCGTGTTCTCAGAGTATGAGTACTTGTGTGTAGCATGAAGTAAGTTTACTTGTGCGTGTTCTCAGAGTATGTGTACTTGTGTGTAGCATGAAGTAACTTTACTTGTGTGTGTTCTCAGAGTATGTGTACTTGTGTGTAGCATGAAGTCAGTTTACTTGTGGGTGTTCTCTCAGAGTATGTGTACTTGTGTGTAGCATGAAGTAAGTTTACTTGTGTGTGTTCTCAGAGTATGAGTACTTGTGTGTAGCATGAAGTAAGTTTACTTGTGTGTGTTCTCAGAGTATGTGTACTTGTGTGTAGCATGAAGTAAGTTTACTTGTGTGTGTTCTCAGAGTATGTGTACTTGTGTGTAGCATGAAGTAAGTTTACTTCTGTGTGTTCTCAGAGTAAGTGTACTTGTGTGTGTTCTCAGAGTATGTGTACTTGTGTGTGTTCTCAGAGTATGTGTACATGTATGTACTATTCATCGCCTTCCCCTTCCTTCCAAGTGCCGAGTTGTCTATGAGCGCAACAGACGTTTGCAGCGAAACCTTTTCCTTCACTATTATTCCCTTTATGTGCTAACCCTAAGACTTCCCTTTATGTGCTACTTCACTAAGACTTTCCCTTATGTGCTACTTCACTAAGACTTCCCCTTATGTGCTACCTCACTAAGACACCCCCTTCTGTGCACTCTCACAGGTTTGAGCTTGTGGTGATAGAGCGATACGAGACTCTGTGTGCGGCTGCGCTCATGCCGGCAGCCTGTCGCATTGAGCAAGTGAAGAACAAGGTGGTAGTCATGGCCAATGAGATGCAGGCGCGAGGAGACTTCAGGTACATCTGAGGCACATAGTAATTGAACGGAAGCTATATGGAAAATCTATGTTATAGATATAG